CTGGCTCCGGGTCCAGGACTCGGGCTGGCTCCGGGTCCAGGACTCGGGCTGGCTCCGGGTCCAGGACTCGGGCTGGCTCCAAGTCCAGGACTCGGGCTGGATCCAAGTCCAGGACTCGGGATCTGGATCCAAGACTCGGGCTCTGGATCCAGGACTCGGGCTCTGGATCCAGGACTCGGGCTCTGGATCCAGGACTCGGGCTCTGGATCCAGGACTCGGGCTCTGGATCCAGGACTCGGGCTCTGGATCCAGGACTCGGGCTCTGGATCCAGGACTCGGGCTCTGGATCCAGGACTCGGGCTCTGGATCCAGGACTCGGGCTCTGGATCCAGGACTCGGGCTCTAGATCCAGGACTCGGGCTCTAGATCCAGGACTCGGGCTCTGGATCCAGGACTCGGGCTCTGGATCCAGGACTCGGGCTCTGGATCCAGGACTGAGGCAGCTCCCAGGCGAGGATCTCATATCAACATAAATTGAGCTTTTTTTATGAGCAAACCATGTAGTATTACTTAAAAAACATGGGCAATAACTCAAAAAGACCATTTCACATAACGTTGTTTTTATACCGGCAACATGAAGCAGTCGAGGCACATTTCCGATGAAGTGTTTTAATAGAGCGGATGAAAATGCGTGTTAGGTTTTGAATGATGTTGCGTAGACGCCGGTGGTGTAATGTTCCTGAACCAGTGGAAACAGTGAGGGCACTTATAACAGGAGCGAGGCCAAAACAAGTGACGCAAGAACACGGCCTCCAAACATGAGTCAAGTCACAAGTAACTGCTTTATTTTCATCTTTTGGAGCAGAACGTTCGCAGCAAACAAATACTATCAAAGCGCTGTGGTTTAGGCGCCTTTAAACAGGTTTCTCTCAAGTACTACTAAACTTCTTTATTACTTTAAGCTGCAGGTTTTCATGTTGTTATGAAGCAGAGAGATGACTGTTGTAAATAACAATGTTCACTTTATCCCTGTGGGGAGCTTTGTCCTCTTCTATCAGGAGCAGTGGTCGCCGTAGTAACAGCGCCCGGCAACCCATCTCCAGACTTGATCAGGACCAGAGCTGGAGGATTTTACCTAGTGTGCATGTTTTTAGGGGTAGGGGAACCTGGAGGAGACATAGGCAGACACAGGGAGAACATGCAAACTCCACTCAGAAAGGCACTGTTCCGACCGGGATTCGAACCCAGGACTTTCTTGCTGAGAAGCCAGAGTGCTATCCACTAATCCTAATGACGAGGTGTTTAAGAGTTTAACCATTAGTCTCCGTCCTGTAGCTACTAAAGCTAGGAGTCAAAATAAGAAGTCCATAAAGTTTGCCCAAGTCTGTCACAAAAACACAGATTAGCCGCATTGCTATATAAGCCGCAGCGTTGTATAAAGAAAAAAGTAGTGGCTTATTGTCCGGAATTATTGGCACAGTGGTTAGCGCTTGTGGTCACAGCAAGAAGGTCCTCCAGGCCATCTGTGTTTATGTAGGTTTACTCCAGGTGCTCCGGTTTCCCCTACCACTAAAAACATCCGCTAAACAGTCCCCTTCCGCATCTTGCCTCCGACCCAAAACCCTTTGCTAAATCCTTAGAGCTGGACATTGCATATATGCCGACCACTAACTACATATATATTTAGCTGGGCCTTCAACTCGACTCTCCAGAATCGTGGCAGCTGTGACGGAGGCAGAAATAGGCGTCTTTTGCTGCAGAGGAAGCTGCTGTCTGCACTTGGATCCACAGAGACGGACACACAGCCCTGCGCGCTATAAATAACACCTATTTACCCCCAGAAGCAAACTCCTCACGGCAAAACAATGTGTGTGTATGTATGCGTGTGTGTGTAGGTGTGTGTGTAGGTGTGTGTATGTGTGTGTGGCATGTGGGTGTGGGTTTGAGCGCTGTCCGTCGTGCTTTGGACATGGATCAGACGAGCTTTAGTGATGCAGTGATGCCCGATAATCACACAAGAACGTTGATTTTCTGCACATTTCAGTCACGGTTGTTCAGAGTTAAGACTTGTTTTCCGCTCTGATATAAAGTGGACATTTTGTGTACAGTTTGGGCTCTGCTTCTGCAAAGTTATTTTTTTATGAACCTTGCCAAAGCAGGAGGTTCTAAGGACAGATGGTGATGATCCAGGTTTACCAACGTGTATGGACATTGGTCACCTGCCCCTTATGTGTGTGTTCACCTGCCCCTTATGTGTGTGTTCACCTGCCCCTTATGTGTGTGTTCACCTGCCCCTTATGGACGAAAGTGTTCCATCAAAATAAAGCTTCATTATTTTATTCATTATTAGTTTATTTGAATAGGGAGAGTATGGATTCATCAACTTTTCTGTAAAAGTGTCAGTAATGTATACACAGTTTCCAACCGTAGTCCCTTGGCCAAACAGCAAACATAACAATATAAAAATTATTAATAAAAATATTACAATTAAGCAAACAAAAAATCTACAATCTACAATCAGTCCTGGGGTCTACAGCCTCAGTCCCTGGATCTACAGCCTCAGTCCCTGGATCTACAGCCTCAGTCCCTGGATCTACAGCCTCAGTCCATGGATCTACAGCCTCAGTCCTGGGGTCTACAGCCTCAGTCCCTGGATCTACAGCCTCAGTCCCTGGATCTACAGCCTCAGTCCCTGGATCTACAGCCTCAGTCCCTGGATCTACAGCCTCAGTCCCTGGATCTACAGCCTCAGTCCTGGATCTACAGCCTCAGTCCTGGATCTACAGCCTCAGTCCCTGGATCTACAGCCTCAGTCCCTGGATCTACAGCCTCAGTCCTGGGTCTACAGCCTCAGTCCCTGGATCTACAGCCTCAGTCCCTGGATCTACAGCCTCAGTCCCTGGATCTACAGCCTCAGTCCCTGGATCTACAGCCTCAGTCCCTGGATCTACAGCCTCAGTCCCTCGATCTACAGCCTGTCCCTCGATCTACAGCCTCAGTCCCTGGATCTACAGCCTCAGTCCCTGGATCTACAGCCTCAGTCCCTGGATCTACAGCCTCAGTCCTGGATCTACAGCCAGGTCATTTATGAACCAAGGTCTCCATGTGTTTTAGTTTCATTACTTTCTCTCATCGACATCTTTGTTAAGTCCTTCGAGATAATTACTGTTGTGAACAATCTTTAGTACTGAAATAAACACGGTGATAATATTCCACCTCCCCATTGGTCGGACTCGTCGGTCTCAGTGCGGGACTCACCCAGTTTGGGGAACACGATGAGGTACTCTGCGTTGCACTGAGGACAGGCGACCCGTGCTGTGCTGTTCCCTCTCTGCTTCTCGTCGACCCAGCGCTGCAGACAGGACTGGTGCACCCACTTTGTAGACCCCCGACACCGGCACGGACGCACCCACTCCGCCGTCCGGTCGTCCTCGTCTGTGGCGAAGCAAACCCAGCAACTCCTGCAGCAAAACGGAGAGTTTAAGCACCAGGGGGAAAAAAATCAGACTAGAACCTACAGCAGGAGGAAGAGGATAGACACCAGGACACAGGAGGGACATGTGATTGGTCGAGAATATTGCGATATTAGGGCCACAATTATTTTGATTGTGATTCTTTTGTTTTTATATAATTGTCTTTATTTTAATTATTTGGAGGCTTGGCGATCCATGACAGATGAAAATGACATCCAATAAAAAACATACAGGGATCAATCAACATCAAAAAAGTTAAACAAAAGGGATGAGACTAGACCAGACACAAGACACAGCAGTTCTTCACATTTTGCGATGCTACGTTTTTTAATTCGATTCAGATGATTGATGTCCCTCATATTATCCAAAGGCTTTACAAAAACTGAGGAAAAGAGGAGAAAGAATAAGAACAAAAACATCCGTGAACATTCAGGACACAGGACCTTATTAAGGACAAGACATCATTAACAACAAGCGCCACCTTGTGGATGTAATATGCAAACAAATGACAAAAGTGAACGCTTTGATGATTTCCCCGACCACCAGGACACAGAAACAACCGGGACCAGCAACTCCGGCTAGGGCGAGAAAGACGATACAAATATCTCTGTAACAAACTCATCAATTCTTATTTAAGTATTTTTTTAATCACACAACCCAAAAAAGTTACCTCTTAAAATTACTGAAATTATTTATCAAATTTTGAGTTTGGCCGAACATGAAATGAAATGCCTAAACCTTCACAAAGAAATTCTGGTCAAAACAAAATGTGGTCAAGACGAGGGAAAGTTAATTGCACAATTCATACACAAGGCAATAATAAATCCAGATCCAGATTTTAGCTACATAATGAAATTCTGTTTTTCCATGTTTAGTCCTGACTCTGGGACCAGCATGAGGCCAGTCCCTGTGCTCCTCAGAGTCCCAGCAGGAGGCCAGTCCCTGTGCTCCTCAGAGTCCCAGCAGGAGGCCAGTCCCTGTGCTCCTCAGAGTCCCAGCAGGAGGCCAGTCCCTGTGCTCCTCAGTCTGTGTTGGTTCATATGGCACTAACATGTCACAAATCCTAAAAAATCCTGTATGTATTATACATGTAAAAACTAGTGATAGATCCAAACTATTTTGAGAAAGAGAAACTAATCTGCATTCAGACTGTACAACGAACCTGGAAGAGTCTTGCTGCTGGAAACCTGAATTTCTCCTACAGCCATCACTAAAGTATCTATCTATCTATTGTGCAGCCCTTTGAAAGTTCAGTACCCCAGCTTTAAAGGTAACGTACACTTGTAAGTGATGTCTTCCTAATCAGTGTCCTGTCCTGCCGGTCCCATGTGGTCCCATGTGGTCCTCTGTCCACAGGAGAACAGACAGATCCTGTGTCTCCCTCAGTCTCAGCTCTAACACAGTTTCCAGCGCTGAATAAAACATGGGCGGAGCGGGAGGCGATCGGGTGACGGAGACACGGAGACGGAGAAACACTAACCTCCACACGTTGGGGACAAAACACAACGCCTGCTCATCTCGCCATCATTTATTTAGCTCCTAACGTTATTCTTCTGGTCTCTGGGCGTATAAACCTGCGACTAAAACGACACTATTCTCTCTAGTTTGGCCTAAAGACTTATTATCGTTGCATTTTCCTCTCGTCGTAACATGGGGCAGACTCACTGCAGTGGGTAAGGTAAGGAGAATTATTCCCACAAAAAACACGTCCACAAATAGGTGAAAACTGTTAAAAATACAGAATACTAATTATTTATACACATTTATAATTCAAGTCAAGGATCTGAATATATTAAAAAGGTACGCAGGATGTCACCAGGCAATGAGAAAACAGCAGTATGTATACATATCGCCATATAAACATAAACAAATATAAGCTTCTAATAAAACATGAAAATATTGTCATAAAAATAAACATGATTGAATTAGTCTTTCAGGGCTTTGGAGCTGGGGTCTGCAGCGTGTGGATCCAATTAGTCTCTCTCTGAGCAACCAATCCAAACTTCAATCCTGACTCACTGCAGGAGTGAAAACTGTGCTAAACTTGTGAAATTGACCGTTTTTAAACATGACACAACAAACATGTCCTCAAAAACAGACGCTTCACTCCTCCTTTGCTGTATTTTAAATTATGTTAATCATTTTAGCGCGTATTAAAAGTGATTAAAAGTACACAATGAATAAATGACTTAAGTTTTGCACCAGATTTATTAAAAGTAACTCTTAGTAGGTTTTCAGAATTCTTTTGATTTGAATGAGAGTTTCTGGGAGAAGTTGTAGAAATACGAAAGTCCTGGTGTTAACACAATACACAAAACGCCAAAGTGAATAGATCAACGCTTCAGGGCCAAAGATAATAACATTTATCTACATCTATTTGTGCTATCTCAGCGCGAGCGAGGACGGACAAGCTAGCAAGGGTTCGCCACATTAGCCTCTAATTTCTCAACTACATCAAGCAACATCAGGACTTGTGATCATTTCAAAAGGAAAGTGGCAAAATTAAAAGTATCCAACGTGTTTGTCTCTAACTGAACATACATATTTGGAATGAAGAGCCCCGAGAGTCACTATTTGAAGTTTTGGGCTGAGAGCTGATTGGCTTTGTGAGCGTGGTCCTCTTTTCTGTCTGAAAATGCAGATATAAATATATGACGAAGACTAAAAATAAGTGAAAACTAGTGATAGAACCAGACTGTTTAAAGAGCAAGGGACGAGAGACATGGATTCTATGGCATAGTTTAATTTTACTGTGGCTTGGAAGTTGGGAAGACCAGCTTTACGTACTTTCCCACATGGTAACTTTATGAATGGTGATCTACCAAAAACAATGTTAAAGCGAGTGTTGTGATGTGTGCCATGTCTACCGGATCGGAGCCGTTTCCTCTTAAAGCCGGCGTGGAGCCACACAAAAGGCTCTTTGAGAGAACGCAGGTCATGTGACTGTGGGAAACTGGGGGTCTCTGGGTTCAAAGCAGCAAAGACCGAGCTGAAGACCGAGTCCGACTGAGACCACACGTCAGATCAGTACCAGTCTCTCCCTGGCCTTGCTGTGCTACGACTGAAGAACTGTATCTTCAATCTTTTTAATGTACTGTATTTATTATTTGTCTGCCTAGTTTAGCCAAGTTATTTTTCTGTGGAAATGTGAGAGATTTGCCGGTTGCTTAAACTGTATTTAACACCCGTACTATTTCTTCAGCTTCATCCATCACAGAGGCAGCAGACTTTGAAGCAATGTAATAATTCTGACGCTACTTTCTTCTGGGATTTAAGCCTGAGACAGTTCCTCCAGATGCCCAGGAGGAAGTGGGTGTGGAGATTTGATAAGGCGCTTTGGGTAACGAGCCAAAGACGAAAGAACGCAGATACAAGTGATTGGAATGAGTGTCGTTCGAAGAGTAGCGAGGGGCTCCCTGAAAGAACTCAGCCATGGGAGCTTCGAGTAGAGCCGTTTCTCCTCCGGGTGGACTAAAGTCATAGATGCGGATGAGCTGGGGAAAGAGTGCGGAGAAGAGAAAGAGAAGTCTGAGCTGAGACTTCCCGCTCGATTCAGGGTTTGCTCCGGTGTCTGCCAAGGCCTTTCTGAACGCAGTTTGCATGTTTCTCCCTGGATGGGTTTTCCTCCGGGCGCTCCGGTTTCCCCCACCAAATGCAGAGGATACGTTTTTATATGGGGACAATAACTACAACAACCCGGCCCCAGATAAAGCAGAAGAAATCACATAATCAAATTGTTATGTCTATTTTAATAATAATAGTGCACTCCATACACAGTGGCGATAAGATACGACTGTAGCCATAGCTGCCCTGGGAAACACTGACCAAAGCAAGGCAACCAGGCTGTGTCATCGGCCCCAACAACCATTCACACACCAGACTTATTCTAGGCAATGTGGGCTAAGTGTCTTGCCTGAGGACACAACGACAGTCTGGCCCCGTACAGCCGCCGCACTGTGGTGCCAGGTGTTCCCAGAGGTCTCCCATCACAGTACTAACCAGGCCCTGCCCTTCTTAGCTTCAGAGGTTTGACAGGATCTGGATTTCACATGCCACCATTGTCTCCATATTCAATTACTGTTCCCATGAATTGACTGAATTATAATTATTATTACCACCATTTTCCAACTAAGCTAAAATACAACACATACATTTTGGTTGATGCCTTCATGAATTCTGAAACCCTGAAATCTGTTTTGAATCTGCATTTCTGCCCAGTTTGTTGCTCATACGTTTATTTTCCCAGACGCTCTCAGGGTCAAGATCTGAACAACGCAAACACGAACCTCAAAAAGCAGCTGCGATTTGACCAAAACAACGAAATTCAGCCCAAAGATGAGAACCGCCGTAAGGCAGAGGCACCTGGACCAACAAGCAGTGACCGAGACACCAGGCTCATGATCAGAAAGATACAGCTGGAGTCTCACAGGGAGAAGACGGGGAAAGGATGAGGCAAATGACCACCTGAATGTCAAATAGTCTACAGCCTCATTTCCACCAATTCCCTCCCTACCCTTCTCTACCCAACCCTACCCTTCTCTACCCAACCCTACTCCAAATCCCCCTCAAAACTCATCTCTTTAGACAAGCCCATAACTCCACCATCCCCTGTTCATGCTGCGTTTAACTTTGTATTGTAACAGTCTTAATATTAATAATAATAATAATACAAAATAAGTTTTCAGGACACTCATAGACTTCACATGTCAATATTCTCTCACTCCATACACAGTGATGATAAACAACAGTTGTAGCCACAGCTGCCCTGGGGCTCACTGACAGGAGCGAGGCCACCAGTCTGTGCCACCGGCCCCTCCCACCATCACCAACCATTCACACACACACACCAGACTCATTCTAGGCAATACGGATAAAGTATCTTGCCTAAGGACACAACAGTTTGGGCACTTTACAGCCACAGCCGCCCCACTGTGGCCCCTGGTGTTCCCAGAGGTCTCCCATCACAGCACTAACTAGGCCCAGCCCTGCACAGCTTCAGAGTTTTCACATGCAGGTACGGCCACATGTGTAGGTTAAACAGTATTAAGTTGTATATTGTACAGGTGTGTTATGCATTACATAGGTTTTTATTGTAAATGCAAAAAGGGAGTAGCTCTTTGTCTCTTTAGTTGCATCAAAGTAGCTCTCTGATTGAAAAAGCTTGGAGACCTCTGTCCTACATGGTCCAATGTCGTACACACAGTATTTTAACCGAGAGCAAATGAATATCTTTGGAGTAACATCGTGTTCTATGCAAAGGTCGTCGTCTCCCACACAGAGGCCAATATTGACACAAAAGTGCTGCGTCAAAACGTCTTGTTCTGGAGGACAGAGACTGCAGCGAATCTAAACTCTGTAGAAAACAAACACACCCGAGAGTAAATGATCCGAACCGGGTCAGAATGATTGTCTAAGGCAGGGGTGTCCAAACATTTTTAAAAGAGGGCCACATTAGTTCACCAGACAAGTCCAGGGGCCGACATCACGGACTGAAAAACTGTCTTGGCTGGGACCGGGCTGTTCCGAGATTTAAAATGATCTATGACAGAGCTGAAGTTGGCTGAATGACAAATGTAAGTAAGTAAGTAAGTAAGCTTTATTTATATACCGCCTTTCACAGACCAGAGTCACAAAGCGGTTTACAATTGTTATTTTTTTTGGGCATTTGTCTCTCACTCCACACAGAGATGGGAGCGGGGTCGCTGAACAGGAGGCACATGCCAGACCTATTTTACATATTTTTAGTGGTAGGGGAAACCGGAGTGCCCGGAGGAAACCTACGCAGACACGGGGAGAACATGAAAACTCCACTCCGAAAGGACCTGGTCCGGCCGGGATTTTGAACCCAGGACCTTCTTGCTGAGAGGCGAGAGTGCTATCCACTCAGCCAAAATGTTTACCATCTCACAAGTCAACGCCAGACGTACTGGGCTTTAGAACAAGGTCTATATTGGCAGAGCTGAAGTTGGATGGATGACACAGTGAACTTGTGTTTATGATCTCAAAGACTACTGTGGATAAACAAGGCAGAGGGCCACATAAAATGACACTGAGGGCCGCAATTTGCCCCCGGACCCGAGTTTGGACATGCCTGGTCTATGGAGTCAATAAATATCATAAAATTCAAACTATTCACGTCGATTATTCTGAGAAACCGGTCGAAGGAAACAGTCACTTCCTTCTATTTTAGTTTCTTTTCAGTCCATTCCAGTCACGGTGCACCTTGATCCTGTTACAATGTGGGCTGCTCCGTTTGATAAACAAGTGAAAGTGAACGTGTATCAACCCATAAATGCCAGTTCCGGAAGTCACAAACTGAATGTGTTTTTGTCCTGAGATTCCGGAAAAAATTGTAAAGTAAAAAAGTGAAGTTGACGTCTTTGTTGTTGTTTGTTCCTGTCTTTGTCACGTCTATGGGCCGCTTGTGTTTGAAATAAAGCTTAATAAATAAACTAATGATTAAAGCTACATTTCTACTTCAGTAACGTTTTGAAAGTCTCAAACCCGTGATGTTGTAATTATGATTGGCCAAATGTGTGTTTCAAATTTCCCTTTTGAATACTTGCATTAAGAGTTCCGAGCTTCCGGCTCGACCGCACGGCATTGTGGGTAGTGTTCTCAAAAAGGTGGGCATCAAATCACGCTGCCATTTTGGATTACATGTGAACGTGATCTCTCTCTCTCTCTTGCTTCCAGCCCACAGATTGTTTTAATAGTTTAAAAATTCACCAATTTCAGACATTTTGAAGCTAAGGTAAAGATTTTTTCATTTAACAAAAAAGCAATGCATTTTTTTCATGAGGTTTTAGATGTAAACACAACCGACTGACTCTAGAGCTGTCTCTGTGTGTGTGTGTGTGTGTGTGTGTTATTAATGACAACTATGACATTATTTAATTTGCTTGAATGAGAAATAAAAAGCTCAGCAACCATCCAAATGTTTAAGAACTGTCCTCGAGTCAAAATGGCCGCAGTGATTGAAGCAGAAGTCACATAAAAGAGTCCAAAAGGGTCTAAATGACCCAGGGCTGGTCAAGTTAGGAAGTTACATCTTTTTTTTTTTGTGGGAAATTTTTTGAGCTTAGGACAGCAGCACAAGGAAGCAACAACAAGGAAATCATTGAAAGATAAAAAATAAGAGAAGATTAAAATCAAACCTTTCTGTTGTGTGGCAGACTACAATAATTTAAAATATAACGGTAAAAGGTTGTATATCATCATGTCCCTCATTCAAATAAATCAAAACTTACCATTTGCCCAAACTTACTAAACTATACTAGTAGAAAAAAAACAAGTTGAAAAAAAGGTTTTGATACTAATTGCAACTGTGATTATTTATAATACTTTTGACAGAACGAAGCTATACAAAAAACTCCGCGCAAAAATGTCCCTAATGAAAAAAATGATTGACTGTTGCGTGTAGATACTTGTCTAAAATCACATCCCCCCAACTTCAGTTCCCACTTATTTTATCTCATCTGAAAGTGTGAAAGTGACATTTAGACTGTGTAAATGTCACTTTCTCACTTTCAGATTAGATAAAATAAGATAGTCCTGAATTCGTCCAACTGTGGGGAGATTTCAAAGTCATCGTGGCACATTACAGCAAAATAAAAGTAGGATTTAAGAGCGCTCAGATTATGCACACATCAAACAGGATCTATTATTTAAGATAAGAGAATAGATGATACAATTTAATAAAATATAATACTCTAGAGCTTTAATTGCCCTTGGTTCGGAGATATTTACAGATGTGTTTGTTGTACTTTAGCAGCAGAACAAGACGAATAATAAACTAGCACGACACACATGCTTCCAGAACATGCTTAGCTGGCGTTTTGTGAACAGGGGCAGGACTTGACAGGAATTGCAGCAGAATTTCTGATCTAATGTTGCACAGAAGGGTATTGGATTTCTGTTTACTGCACAGAATATGGAACACCGCGCTCCCACAGACAACACAGGCTGCTTCTCTGCACAACAAAAACAAATCACACACTGTTACATATGCATGCACTCACGCACAGAGAGTAGGGACACAGTATTACACTTTTACAGTAACCACAGTGGCTACATAACACAACATGAGCTAGCATACATAAGCAGACTGTCCAAACTCACCTGTCCAAATTCTGTTGCATAACCACCGCGTTTTGTTCAGACATGTCCGCAGTGTTTTCTTGACGTTACTACAAACTAAACTAACTTTCCACACGCCAAATCCGTTGCATGTGTTGGTAAAATGATCAAATTAGCATGTAGCCTCTAAGCTAACGCTACTTCTCCGCTGTCAGGCCGCTAAAGCTAACACGGAGCTAATGCTAAATGCTAATGCTTCTCCGCGGGATCAGACCTCTGCCTTCAGGGCCATGGTCACAAACTAAGCTAAATAGAGGTTCTAGCTTAAAAAAAACCGGCACTAAATAGTCCACGGTTTCGCTTGTCACTTCTGTTTTCGCTTTTACGTGACCGCTGTTCTACCATCCACGAAGCAGACGGGGCTGTGCGTCTGACGTCATCACAACAAAGGCAGCGCGGAGGTGTGGTCCCATGGGAAATGTAGTTTTATTGCGTTTATGCTCATAATTGTGTCAAAAGTGTGAAAATAGATGTTTATCCGCGGCTCCAACTGTTGAGGCAGCGATGAAAGACGTGCGGGTTATGACAAGGCAATCTCCGGGACTTTATCTACCAAACAGGCAAACACATGTGGAAGCTTCCTGGTCGGAGGGGCCGCGGGCACATACTGGTTGCCTCGCTTCTGTCAGTGTGCCCCAGGGCAGTTGTGGCTACAGTAATAGTTTATCACCACTGTGTATGGAGTGAATTTATAATGACAAGCTTCAGAAAGCGTTATAAAAAACTATGCATTGTTGTTGTTGTTATTATTATTATTATTATTATTATTATTATTATTATTATTATTAGACCATACAATTTTTAAGATTAAATAGTTGTAACTTAAAGACCTGGAATGTCTAAACTCGGCCCTCAGACTGTGGCCCTCATGCTGTGGCCCTCATGCTGTGTGAGGCATCGCATCCCAGAGGTAAGTTTGGTTTGGACCACAATAGCTGACGGATTTATTCTTATGTTTTGGACTGTAAACACAATATTAGACCAGCGACCATAGAGGTCATGCAAAAATAAATAAATCCCAAGCTTACTATTGTCTTAAGAGCTTGCACTGTCAATAGGGAGTGCGTTTGAACAGTCTGTAGTCACGTATATTACACCATTATACAGGCCAGATACTCTCATAAATCATGTTTCAGTCTGTGTGATGTGAAGAGTCTGCATTGCAACAGTAAAAGTGTCAGGACGGCATGTTCCTATAATATTATTTGAATATTACAACTATAAGATGATTTCAGCACTATGTAACAGTGAGAGATGAAAGTCTGAAAACGTGTGATTAATAATACCAAATACAGAAAGATTAGATTAGATTAGATTCAACTTTATTGTCATTACAAAGTCAGAACAATGCAACGAAATGCAGTTTAGCGTCTAACCAGTAGTGCAATAGTGCAAGTATAGGAGCATATTTACAACATACTGTAATCATTAAAAAAAACTTCAGGGTAATACAAAGATGGATTGAAGATATATGTTTTTTGTTTTATGAGTGTATGTATCTAGTGGAAGACAATACAATGAATTGATAGACAAAATAGTACTCCTATATCACATAATAGTGGCTTCTGTATAAGGTTGTGATGTCACTGACAGAGCAGCCATTCACCGCCTGCAGGAGGATCAGTGAGGGGCTGGTGCTCTGTGAATTGAGTATCAGTGGATTGCCACCTCCCTGACCCAGAAATGGAATAAGGGGAAGAAAATGGATGGATGGATGGCTTCTGTGTTCTCTCTTTCTTTTTTCAAATTCTCCTTGTTTAAGCTGTGAGGGTAGTCCCGGATCTACAGCCTCAGTCCTGGATCAACAGCCCTTTTAGTACATGGAAGCAAAAATCTCTATTGAAGCAAGAATAAATCCCTAACTCTATCATAAAAAATACTGTATATTCTAGTGTAATAAATATATATTATTATACAGCTCCTCACAGCAGCAGGAGAACGCTCCATTGATTTGAATGTAATTTCAAAACGTTCTACCGGTCATTATTTTCTATAACGGACCTCTCAAAACAATAATGACCGCTGCCCTTTGGCAACGCACTCTGTGCTTGTCTTTCAAATGCGTGGATAACTCCGCAAGTAGTTCCGGCCACTCCTGAGCTAGCCACGCTCAATCAACACACTTAAATATTAATCGGAGAATACTTATACATATACATTCTTCACACACGTGCACGGAAATTTTCAGAATTTTCTGGTCTTGTCTTCATGACAAAAATACTATTTCTCTGCGTCAAAAAGCGATCGTGAAAAACCCGGAAGTAGTTCTGGCCGCTCAATAAACGCAAATGCCAATCAATCAACGCAATGAAATGTTAATCGGAGAGTAATTTATATATATCCAGTCTTAATACAAGTGCACGGAAGTTTTCAGAATTTTCCGTTTACGTTTTCAGAGACAAAAACACTGATGTAATGCGAGAAAAGGCGATCCCGAAAAACCCGGAAGTAGATACCGGCACATTTTAAGATACCGGCACATTTTCGGACACATTTGCAGAGGATCGAATTATGGATTTAGGTTAGGTTTATGTATGGGTCACTCACCGCTGATGTTCAGAATTCTTTGTTCAGTTTTCATGCAGTTCCAGAGAGTTCTAGTTTGGAAGTTGCCAGCCTAACTGTTGCCCGCGGTTGCCGAGCAACGGGAAAACTTTTTGGGACTACTTTATTTGTTGTCATTAAATAAACTTTTGGCATTCATAAAAGTGATCTGAAGTTTATTTTGTGTGTTAAGTTGGTACAAAGCAGTATAATAAGCGGCATAATGTATAGCCTACAGGTCATTATCGGAAAATAAGTACCTTCAGGGCGGAAGCAGACCCCTCCGCTGCGCGTCGGGGTCCGCTTCGCCCTGTCGGTACTTATTTTCCGATAATGACCTGTAGGCTATACATTATCCCTTACGTAGTATGTATACATCATGAGATTATATATTGCACATTCTGATATTATTCAAATTATGGTTGCGAACATAAGTAAACTGTAGACACATGTGGTTTCATATAAACAAAATGACAAATATAAAATTTAACACTATCAGCTAGCTACCTGAAGATATGGCACCGTTCAAACATTGTCACAACATTATAAACATGAAATAAAACACTCACTGATCACTCTCATAAAAAAACAACCTTCTCGCGTTCTGTAGTCCTATATGACACTGCTTGGACTACAGCTCCCAGCATCCTCCGTGGCCTCATCCATGCGCCGCAGTCAATCAGCTGTTCAGGCAACTGCTGACTCTCTCTGCACCGGGAGAGCAGCTCGTTTCCATACCACCCAAACCCAGCCGAGGCAAACGGCATCTCCCTATCTCCTCCAAGTCCCCCGGTACTCGGTGAACCTCCAGGTAACGCAACTAGTAACGCTGGCACCATGTCCTGCCTATAGTGGCGTGAGCGTGTGTGTATGTGTGTGTAGGTGCGTGTGTGTGGATTAGAAGGCTTTGGACAGCGCTCCGTGACAGCTTGGGTTTCTCGGGTAAAAGGAGGCGAGAGGGCAGACCGGGTTTGAGGGGTACAGCACGGTGTGTCCCCCCTCCACAAGTACGGCTTTAATACGCGGGGGTTGGTGACCTTGGATGAGGTTTGGAGGAGAACCCCCGGTGGGCAATGCAGCTGTACTAAAAAGCAAAGTTGTTGGTGCTATTAGGAATATGTAAATTCGTCTGTCATAGTGGTCAGAGCAGTATCTACGTTTAAATGTGGATAAAGTAGTAATAAGCACAGAGATAGTCTTTACAATACTGCAGTGACAGAAGCTATAAACTTAAATATTCTGTCATGTTTTATGGCACAAACTGAATATTTTAATACCATCGTAAGATAATTGTCTAGTTATTTTTGTTTTAGCTATTTTTATTGAATGTTGTGTTTGTGGCATTAGCAGTTTGGATGTGAATTCGTCCATTTTTAGTCCAGGGACAGTTTGTTTCGTTTCCAGCCCCGATGCGGATCTAGGGCAGAGTCTGTGTGTGCGCTATTATTAATAGGCTTGGCAAAGCGAACTACGCAGGTTTGTATGGAGCACTTTAGGCAGCTTAAAATATTACATAAAAAAGAGAGTGAGAAGGAAGTTTTATGTCGGTCGCTTGGATTTATTTGCATTAAATACAGAACAGTAACTTGATTGTTCAGAAAGACTGAAAATGTGTAGAAAGAGAGAGAGAGCAGAGAGAGAGAGACAGAGAGAGAGCGCAGAGAGAGAGAGACAGAGAGAGAGCGCAGAGAGAGCAGAGAGACAGAGAGAGAGAGCAGAGAGACAGAGAGAGAGCGCAGAAAGACAGAGAGAGAGCGAAGAGAGAGAAGAGAGAGAGAAGAAAGAGACCAAAGAGTTTCAAGCCAGTCTGAAGCTAATGCGTATTTTGCATATAGCAGTTATACCAGAGCCCTTTGCAGAAGTAAATGATTACATTAGAATTTAAAAAGCAACTGTTTAAAAATCAGCAGAGTTCTGAGTTTAAGTAGATGATATAATTTAAACTTTTAAGTGGAACCGTGACAGACTGTCCACAGACCAACCTCACGCACAGACACACAACAGTACATTTCGTTTGTTCTGAATTGTCTGACTTGGTTGCATGTGAGAATAGAGGAGGCGTCATGCACTGCCCATGCGTAATATACAAGACAAAATATTCATCTTTACGCATCCAATCCTCGCGCGTAAAAGTGTAGTTCATTCCTTTACATTACATTACTGCTGGTGTAACCTTGTTGGAGGACAGCCGTATTTACTGACATATGCAAATGAGGTTAGGGGAGGTTCTTTTAAAGCCCGGAGTCACTATTACGCGCACGCACACAACAGCGGTGGAATCAGTTTGCTGCGTGGAGAGGAAAGGGAAAACCAAGACGTGGCGAGCCCGATTTTGGAAAGCCATATGCCGCCTCTGTGTGTCGGCTTCAGCGCGTATGTTTGAGCCATCTGCGTGGAAGTTTATCTCCCTCGTTTGGTTTCACTTGTTCGGTTTCTAAATGGATGACCACGCGTTCGCTTTGCCGTCGCCCGGTCCGTCCAATAACGTCCTCTCGCTGTCGGACTTGTCCCAGTTGCTCAGATATTACAACGGCAGCAGGGACCCAGCGTACGATCTGGTCAATAACAACATTAACTCCTCGTTTCTGTCTCTCTCAGCTCGACACACCATGCAGGATGACTTATTGATGGAGAAATCTCACCATCAGCCACAGCCAGAGCGAGCGGACCCTCCTCCAGCGGCGAGTACTCCTTCCAATTCCTCCCTGGAGCAGACCTCATCCTCTGGGTCGTCCTCTGACGCCGAGTCCAGCAGCTGTAGTAGTAGCGGTGGCGTTGGTGGTGGGAAGGATAAATCGCCCATGGAGTCACCTATATTACCAGGACTGAGCTTTCCACACCAAGAAACGCTCAGTCCGCAGTTGCCCCTGTCTCCAAACTCCTCATTCGGGAGTGCGTGGTCCGTGGATGACAGTAGCTACTTCCCTGGAATGCCTTCTGTGAATGGAACGATGCTTTTCCAAAATTTTCCCCATGTGAACCCGGTGTTTGGGGGGAATTATACACAAGTGGGTTTGGCAGCGCAGTCTCAGCAGCAGCAGCAGCAGCAGCAGAATAGGAGGTCCCCAGTGAGTCCAAATCAAAGTTTCCAGCAGAGAAACGCGTACCAAAACTTCTCCAAAGGCTCCTTGACAAGCACTTCATGGAATAACAATCATCAGAGTTGGACTTCCACTCCGTCCAGTCCTTGGAGTGGGGTGCAGCAGCATGGCAGGGACCCCAGGAGGGCAGTGGGGGTGGGGGTGGGGGGCATGCCTTCTCAGTTGAACCCAGTGTCTCCTATGAAAAAGCCCTTCGGGACCGGGAACGTGATCGCTCCACCCAAGTTCCCCAGACCCCTCGGGCCCAAAGCGTGCTGGATGGATGAGTTCAGGGCGGACGGGAACAACATGCTTCCTTTCCAGGTGAGTGCTTTTGGATGTATGTGTGGATGTCTCTTTAAACCAAGTAACTAGCTAAAAGTTATGTGGTTTTTCTTTACCATGATATGTAAGACACTTATGTTATTACCAAAAACCTATTCATTAGGCACTGAGCAACACGGGCTGGTGTGTCAAAATGATCCTGCATTTAACCCGATTCAAAAAGGTTAATTTTGCCTTGAGTTCTTGGTTCTTTTGAAAGACAGTTAGATGTATGCAAGTGTGTGAAGCGTTCAACATTTTTAACAAGGTAATACATCTAAAATGTCTTTTCAAAAGAACCACAAAATGCATTTAACCCGCCTCATGATCTATTCTTTTTGCTGTATTTATGTATATGTTGTTGATGTCTTTTTTAAGAAACTATAGCTTGTGCGATAGCGATGTTATTACCTTACATCACAATTGTCTGATATAGAAGACCCAGAGAACTTTATTCTAGTTAGATTGACCTACAAAACATAATGAGCAACATGGACTGGTGTGTCAAATCGACTCTAGATTCAACCCACCTCACAATCTAGTGTTTTTGTGTCTTTGCCTATATTTACTCTTTGCATCTTGAGCCAAAGCAAATTCCTAGTTTGTGACAAGATGTACCTTTCCTAAGCTAGAATCTGCCTCATAAAAAAACGCCCAAAAACCTTACGCACTGAGCAACATGGGCTGGTGTGTCAAAACGACTCTGCATTCAACCCGCCTAACAATTTAGTGATTTTGTCATCTTTTTTGTATGTGTGTGTACTTTTAAACCAACAATTTGGCTAATTGTTATTAAGTTATTCTATACCAGACAATTACAGCGATGTATCACACACTGAAAGACATGGGCTGGTGTCTCAAAACGACTGAGCATTCAACCCACCTCACGATCCAGTCTTTTTACCGAGGTCTGCCGTGTCAAATATAGCAGTAATTTAGACGGCAAGAAAACCAAACTGTTTTTGTGAGTCAGGGGAAGGTTTTAAAGATGAAATATTGTGTATTAATATATGTGTCACGGGGGGAAATGAAGAAAAAGGGAACCCAAAATGCAGGACTGAAAATCAAATGTAATTTAATAAAAATCAAAATCCAGAGAGACAAAAAGCACAAAATACCAGAACCGAAAAACTAGACGAGACAAACGTGGATGAGACAATGGACGGACAAGTGGGGAAAAGCACAGGGTATAAATACACACAGGAGACACAGGTGGATCACATTAGGGCGGGGCTAACAATCAAAAGGACAGACAGGAATCAAACTCAAAATACAAGAGAATAAAGTAAATAATCCAAAAAGTCCACACCGTGACAATGTCCTATGAATATGAATGAATAACTTTGTAGTAGTGAACAAGTCTGAAGGGTTAAACATGCTTTCTGCCTGTAATTCCGTTTGCTACCACCAGAGGGAGGAGTAGAAATAGTTTTGTTTTTTGCCCATATTTGAAAATTACCATCTGCAAACACGTCGTTTCTTTAGAGAAATGACCAAAGCAAGTTACTGATCAATATTTTTGTTTTTAAAAAGTTGGCGTGTGATCATACTATTACAGGACTGAGACAGGAGCTTTTTGACGGAAGGGGTGGAGCTACGCAGCTATGTTTTCGCCTGAGGTTTCTGATATTAGCATGGATGGAGCTAAACACGACTCCAGATCTGTGACTGATGAGGAACAAAGTTGGAACATGGAGAAAAGAGAGAACGGGTTTGCAGTACGAATTGGATACTTTGTAGTCTTTATCAAACTTTTTTCCTTTAAACACGTTTCAAAATGGCTGCCTTCAAAAACAGACCTGGCAACAAACGCCCAAAAAGAGATAAATTGAGAAAAATTAAGATTCCCTCACCGGGGAAATCTTAATGTCATAGTTGCGCACATAACAGGAGGAAAAATGATAGATAAGAAAAATAGATTATAAGATAAAATAAATGTAGTAATAGCAGTAATAAAAGTAAATGTAGTAAAAGCAGTAAAACACAGACTTTTGCCATTTTTCTTCTCCACTATCTTTATTGATTCCAACTTTGTGTGCAATAAAGTGAAGCTAATGCATTTTACAGGCTTCTGAAATCGTCACAATTTAAGGATTTTGTTTTGTTCTTACAATTGATCCGACCGAACTTATCCCAATCCTTGATGAACCTCATACATTTGACATTTTTAATCCACAGAGACAAGTTATTAATGTAGTGAAAAAGTGGATGAGCAGACAAACAAACGGTTACTGAGCTGGAGGACTTTACTTTTCAATGTAAGTCAACAGGAGCCAGAGCGAGTTGGAGAAAAACTTCATCCATGAGCACTTCCCTATTGGGCTTCATTGAGCTTGCGGGTTAGCGTTGTCCATCTGTATACAGACTATGGTCATGATATTGCTAAGGTTCTGAAGTTAGGTCACATTTTTGACTGTTGATAGATTTAATTATATGTTTAGTTCAGTGATGGGAACAAACCCAGCGGAGGAAAAACGTGACAAACAGGATTAAATAATGAAATTACTTTTGTCATTTTGGATTAAATACTTTGAATTAGAGAATCATTTCACTCGAACACAAACAGTGAAAGTAGGTCAAATAGAAATAGTCAAGGCTACACAGGATTTAGCGTGTTTTGACTTAAGTGGATCGTCCAAAGCCCTGTTTCCACCAGTTCTACTCTACTTTACCCGACCTACTGTATCCTAGCAACCAACCGACAACAAACCAGCATCCGGGGAAATTCCTTGGTAACCATGGCTTCCAGAAGCACTCCGGACAAACACTGTCAGCTAGAACACTTTATTACCATCTCGACCTGGACCAAGAGGGACTAATAAGGACCTGGTACTGGTTAAACAAGACCAGAGAAAAAACACTCTGAGTAGGGTAGAGTAGAGTAGAGTATAGTAGATTGAAGTAGAGTAGGGTAGGGTAGAGTAGAGTAGAGTAGGGTAGGGTAGGGTAGGGTTGGGTTGAGTAGGGTGGAGTAGAATTGGGTAGGGTAGAGTAGAGTATAGTAGAGTGAAGTAGAGTAGGGTAGGGTAGAGTAGAGCAGGGTAGAGTACAGTAGAGAGTAGGGTAGAGTAGAGTAGAGTAGAGTAGAGTAGAGTAGAGTAGAGTAGAGTAGAGTAGAGTAGAGTAGAGTAGAGTAGAGTAGAGTAGGGTAGGGTAGGGTAGGGTAGGGTAGGGTAGGGTAGAGTAGAGTAGGGTAGAGTACAGTAGAGAGTAGAGTAGAGTAGAGTAGGGTAGGGTAGGGTAGGGTTGAGTAGAGTAGGGTAGAGTACAGTAGAGAGTAGAGTAGAGTAGGGTAGGGTAGGGTAGGGTAGAGTAGAGCAGTGTAGAGTAGGGCTGGTGGAAACGGGGCTACAGTTTGAGAACCGTCGCTCTAGATCACAGAAGTAACCCACGTAGCAGCAGAATGGGTTGTGGTACCGCCGATTGAGAAACCCCAGTGTAGTGGGATGACTTTGGCAGGTCCAGATCAGACCTTAGTCCGTTATTGTTTATTCTAGGTTTCAATGGCATGAGATCAAAGCTGTCGTTGGTCCTCATCCTTTGATTATTGTAGAATCAATAATATCAACGTGACCAGTGTCAAACCTGTCGAAGGTAAAAAGCTCAGATTGTAAATTCATATCAATGATTTATTACTGATTCTGTTCTGTGTTTTTTAAGAGATGTATTTTGGGCGAGTTTTGTCACAAGATAAAACAAGGAAGGACCCCAAAGCTGAACTAAGATTAAGTTTAAGAAATTCTTTTTACTTTTCGCACAGTGAGGAAATTTCAGTGTTGCATCGCCTGCAGACTGATGCATTTGTTTCATTTATTATTTTTATTATTTTGTTCATTTTGTTGTGTGCGTCTTTATGTAATTATCTTTTCTTTTCCTTAAAGCTCTGTAAATTATTTTGTATGTATGTTTGTGTGGAGTTTTACACAGTAGGAATGATGGGGCAACAGTGGCTCAGATGGTAGAGCATTGGCCTTAGAGCCTGAAGGTTGTGGGTTCGAGCCCACCATAAGACCTACTTCACGACTCCCACTGATGACTGCTGTCGTTCTGGGCAAGACACTTAACCCCACTTTGCCTGAAGCCCCCACTGAAAGACCAAGGCTCCTGTGGACTCAGCACCTGCAGGAGGATCAGTGAGGGGCTGGTGCTCTGTGGACTGCCACCCCCCAACCCAGAAATGGATTAAGGGGAAGAAAATGAATGGATGGATAGAACAGTAGGAATGAGAAGCACACAGCACAAGACAAATGAATAATACCTTGATACTAAATGTCAAACTCTAGCATGAAGAAGAAAAGTATAAAATCTCTACCTTTGGCATAGTATGAGTTTAAAGGTTTAAAGGTCTAAGTGTAAGTAATATATATATAGTTGTATTTTGACATCACGTTAGCAGCATGGAGGTGGACACATGTGGTTCTATTTTGCATATTCTGACATTGTTAAAGTCATTATTGCACAGATGAAAAAGTGAAAGCACAGGGTCTGAAGGTTCACACTTGTTTTGATACGGGTCTATCTCCTCAGCGAGTCCTTGAACGTTGCCTGGATCGATCGGAGCTATTTTTACTGGTCATAAACAAACAGTGTGAGTCAGCAGCCTCCGAAGAGACACGCCCAGAGCCGAGGCGTGACGCGGCTGCAACATCTGCCCCAGGATCTGCCCCAGGATCTGCCCCAGGATCTGCCCCAGGATCTGCCCCAGGATCTGCCCCAGGATCTGCACCAGTATCTGCAGTACCCCGGCAAATATCATCCACCACATCCAGGAATTTCATATCAGGGCAAGACTCTGTAGGGGAGGGGTAGGAGCAGAGTTCAGACTTTAACCTTTTATTAGTTTCTTCAATCATTTGGAAAATCACCTTTTGAGTCAATATCTCGACTAATATATTAACAGAACTGAAATATACCTCTCTGGAGCATTTGGTTTTCTGCAATTTTACCATCAAAATCTATCTCAACTATTTGGTAACGGCTTATATTAAAAAAAAAATAGG